ATACAAATATAAGCATTTAAAGTAGGATGGTAATAGAAAGAACACTAAGCAAAAAGCAGAATACAGACAGAATGCATATACCTTCGTATTTTAAAAACTGGGAGAATATGGTCATATTCATGCTTGTATATGCATTAAATGGCTCTGCAAAGTTTTGTGACTGCCTATGGAAAGGGACAACTAGATGTCTGAGGCAGACTTTTCACTGTACATGCTTTGCTATATTTCAAATCTAAAGCAGTGAATGCACTACCTATGCAAGAATTCAATTTTTACAACTGGAGGGGAGGGAGAAGATTAAACAAGTACTCTGGAAGCCAGACTTCTAGTCTCAATTTGCTTCTACCTGTATTATCTTCAGTAAGTCACTTAATTTCTGAGTTTCAGCTGGACAAAGTAAATAATAGTAAAAATTTCTAGGTTCCATTCTAATTATCTCACTGGGGGGTAGTAAACAGATGGTACTTTTTTTTAACATATGGGAACCAAGGTACTAATCCAGTATCTGTAAAACAAGGGAACTTTGGGGGACTTAATGATTTTCAAATGGCAGTCAACCTTCAAACAACATGGGTTTGAACTGCACTGAGTCTACTTACATATAGATCTTTTTCAACCAAATGAGGATGGGAAATAAAGTTGTTTCAAGATAAACCTGTGTGTATAGAGGCCCAACTTGTTGTATATGCAGGTTCCCCAGGGCTGATGGTGGTAGGCTTTGAGTATACAAGAAAAGCTGGAGTCCTGGAACAAATACCCCACAAATAACCAGGAAACGTCACTATTTTTATGCATTTTTAGGAACTACAGAATTGTCAGGCCTACTAACCTCTCAAGATCATTTGTACTATTCTTATATAAACATCCTTCTTTGAAGGGGCCTAATACGTAGAAAGTACCTATACACACATTCTGCATATATTCTTGTTTTTCTTGTACTACTTCTGAAATTGATAGAAGTGAACTTTAAATCTTTATGCTATGCCCCAGAGTAAGCAATAAAGTACATTAAATACGCAAAGGACTATATCTAAGAAACTTCTTAAAGGAACTTCTTAAAGAAACTTCTACCTTACTACCAGACACTGCAAACAAACAAAAAAAAAGTAGCATCTCCAATATAATGATAACAGCTATAACTGAGTTAATACCTTATTTCAAGTACGTACTTGTATCATCTTTAATCTTAACATTCATCTGGCAAAGTGGGTTTTGGGGGGTTTTTTTGAGAAAGAGTCTCAAGCTATTATCCTGAGTAGAGTGTCATGGCATCATAGCTCACAGCAACCTCCAACTCTTGGGCTCAAGCAAGCTTCTTATTTCAGTTTTTCTATTTTTAGTAGAGACGGGGTCTTGCTTTTGCTCAGGCTGGTCTTGAACTCTTGAGCTCAAGCAATCCACCTGCCTTGGCCTCCCAGAGTGCTAGAATTACAGGTGTGAGTGCAGGGTGCAAAAGTGGGTTTTAATATCCCTATTTATCATAAGAAATTAAGGCTTCATGAGAATAAGTGACTAGCTTGATACCACAAGTCAAAGACGTAGCAGAGCTACACCACCCAGAGTCACTGGATTTGACCTCAGGGCACCAAACCAAAGGGGCAGAGAGTGCCTACTTAACGTTGACTGGTAGGCTGATACAGGTTCACAGCAGAGTTTTCAACAATTTCTGTAAAAATGGGGGAAATAAGAAGAAAGTAAACTTTTCATTAAAGCTAAATGATTCAATTTAAAGAATCTTTTATTCTGAGATTCTGTTCTTTCAAATTGAGTGAAAATATTGTTTTATTAAATGAAATGATGGTGATATAAGTACTGGTGTGAGTTACTGCTGCTGTCTTTATTGGTTATACTTGGTGGACTAAAGAAACTACAATTTCTATTGCAATCTCCTAATTTGAGGGAAATACTTCCTTTGAAATGCAAAAGGCTGAAATTATTCCTTTACATAATTGTGCCTTCCAAAACACTAGAGGATTTTATGCACAAGACATGCCCCTCAAAACTCTCTCATTAAGCCTACCTTATTCTATCTGGATTAGGATATTTAAAGATTGAGAAATGAGAATAAAGTTAAGTTTAAGCAATCCAAAATCACGAGTTAACACTGGATCCTGGAAGAGAACTTCCTTTAGGATCTTTTTCTTTCTTTCTTTTTTTTTTTTGAGACGGAGTCTTACTTTGTCGCCCTTGGCAGTGTGCTATAGTGTCCTATCTCATAGCAACCTCAAATTCTTGGGCTCAAGCAATCCTCTTGCCTCTGTCTCCCAAGTAGCTGGGACTGCAGGTGCCCACTACAACACCTGGGTGGTTTTTTTTTAAGAGATGTGTCTCTCGCTCCTGCTCAGGCTGGTCTTGAACTCCTGAGCTCAAACAATCCATCTGCCTCAGCTTCCCAGAGTACTAGAATTATAGGTGTGACCTCAGGATCTTTTTCTTCTGTTTACTCTTCTTTCATTCTATTAATTGGAGCCTGAGCTCAAACTTTTTCTTAAAAGAGTTACATCTTTGAATTTTACTGTACATAGCGGTCAATACTCAAAGGAAGTAACTTGAAGTGTCCAATAATGACCTTTCATTTAAATTCTTTTTCACCTTGATAAAATATAAACTTTTAATGATATTTACTCTACCCATTTCCCCCCACCAAAAAAAATAGGTCTATAAATCAGATTTAGGCCATTTAATTTTCAGGTTTCCATATCTGAAACAAACAAAATAAATAAATATATGATTTCGCAAGGAGTAATCAGGCTAATCAAACTGAATACGCTTCTTGAAATAATCTCATTCATGTATGGCAAATAAGTTACTCACTCCTCTTATTAGCATATCTTTTTCTTACCTATCATCCTTTAGCAGGCATCAAAGTTAAAATATTTATGTACAAAGCTTTACAATTACTTCACACATTACTTTCACATTTAAAACTATAAAGATATCTAGTTAATTTTAGTCTTACATATACTTTTAATATATTACTTGATGTTATGTGGAGCTTTATTTAAAAGGGGAAAAAAAACACAAAAACATGTCTCTTGCAGGACACATAAATAACTATGAGAATTAGAGTCTAAACTTCTTATTTGGTTCAAAAATGCTACTTTTAAAGAAAAGTTAATTTTAAGAACTTAAGTATACAGTATTCTTTCCACATCCAAATGTTAAAAGGTCCATTAAATTTATTATAGATCATGTTTCCAAAAAAATCTAAAATTAGTAATAATTCTCTCTAAATTCCATATGTAACTAATATCAAATGTGTTATTTTCAGTTCTTTGTTTTTTAAATACTTAAGATGTGCTACTGCATAGTCTTACTGTCTTTTCACTAGGTATTGATTCATTCAACTATACTTTGGGCACAAGGTACTTTTAAGTTTAAAAGTCCTTTCCAAAAGTGGAAAATAAAATGAAAATGTTTGCTCAGTGTTTCTCAAAGGATATCTGAGAGTCTAATAAATTAGCCTATTAACTTGGTTCAAAATGACTAACAACAAATGTTGAGCTTTTTAAAAGTCACATCAGTGTTTTTTCCATTGTAAACTGATAACCACACTTTAAACGCATTTCAAAATATGTATAATACAGTCATAATGATAATTATTTCCCCTCTAAAAAGCTACAAGATTTTGGTTTAAGAGCAAGTGAAGATAGTAGATAGAGTACCTGGTTCATTAAAAAGGCTAAGTGGAATAGACTGGCACCCTGAAGTTTATAAACAGTAACAGGACAAACTTCCATGCTAGCTTGTTCACGTAATCAGCAATATGAAGGTTAAATAAACTAGTGAGCTATATATACACTTCTGTCCACCTACCAATTTACCGATCAACACTAGGAGAAATTGCTCAAATGTGACTGTTAACAAACATCAAACTATTAGGCATAGTCGCTATTAAAAGTGTAACCTATCAATTTTGAAATTATTTCTTTGACTTTTCCTATGTGTTTTAATGACTCCTCCCAATTAAAGAAACAGTCCTTTTAAAATGTAAAGTACGCTTTTTTTCAAAGTAACTTGCCTAGGAAAATTTAATGCATTAAAATAAACTGCAACAGACAAATCAATTACAACGTGTTTAAAAAACTAAAATGATCAGTAAAACAAACTAATCGCTCCAGTTTAGCAAACTGAGTATCTCATTATACCAATCAACAACATTGAAAAGTCAACCTTCTGTCTGTAACACCATCACTACACAGACCCAAACTCAAATCGTTTCTCCCACCCGGGCACACAGAAATATCCGAGGGGAAATCCAAGAAATATCGTTTCTAAACTAGACCCAAACTCAAATCGTTTCTCCCACCCGGGCACACAGAAATATCCGAGGGGAAATCCAAGAAATCAGATATGTTAAGTGCCAGTATCGTCTTCCACAGTAGGGTCAAATTCATGCTTGCCCGCAAATGTCACCGTCTCAAGAAGTCTGCAAATTCTCACTAGCGCTACAAAGAGGCCTGACCACGGAAACACCTGTCCTAACACCAGGAAGACAGTGGGAAATGCAACCCCCCTGAGTCCACGCCGGCCGCACAATCTCGGGCTGTAGCGATCGGAGGACAAGAGGTGGATACTGGCCTCACAGACCCCTCTGACAGGGTCTCATACCCCTGACCCGCCTCCCTTGGCAAAAACCTGGAAACCTGTCAAGCCGGCCGACCCACCCTCCGCAAACCCCTCGTGCTCCTCCCCTGTCCGGCCCCAGCCTGCCCAACTGCGCCCGGTCCGCTCCGGCCTCCCGGCTGCACTCTGCCACCTCATCCCTCCTCGGCGGCCTCGCGGCCCCGCCACCTCCGCCAGGCGGCCTGGGCTCGGGCCGCCCCCCGAGCAGAAGCACCCGGCCTCCGCCCCCCTCCCCGGCTCCTACCCCTTCGGTCCCTCCGCGGTCCAGTTCCCGCCGCCCCCCAGGCCCGAGCTCCCGCCGCGCGCTCCCCACCCCCAGCCTCCGCCCTCGCCCCGCTCGGCCGCTCCCGGCCCACTCCTCCCAGCCGGGCTACCTGGAGGCAAGGGCGGCGGAGCACTTCACCCAGGGCCCCAGGTCGCAGAGGGCCCGGTGTTCGGGGTCCCGCTCCTTCTCCCGCTCCACGTGGTAGGCGTAGATGGAGAGCAGGATCCCGGCGGCGCACACTGCATACCGGGCCACCCGCTCCCACCGCGGTACCGACACTCTCAGCAGGACGGGCGCCGCCATCTTCC